TGTTTGTTCTGGATTGACATGCTCTCATTAAGCTTTTTATTACGTTAATCTTATTTTGCAGACTGGAGACAAAAGTGCTGAGGCGACAGCCAGGATGAACCTGTCGGACCTACGGCTGGTCGTCAGCCTGAAGTCCAACTCCAACAACCACTCCTATATCTTCCGTAACACCAACACTAACAGCTCTGCCCTGCCAGAAGGCCCTCTGAGCCTCCATACCCTACAAAGTAAATCAAAGCTTGTTGCTTTCAGGACATTTTGACAAATCGAATGTATAGCATGTAGCATACTTGTGAATCTGTGTCATTACATATTAGTAACATGAGTGCTAGAAAACAGTTAAATGATCTTAGTCACGCATTTCGAGATGATACATTTCTGATATGAACCCCCATATTTTCTGATCTTCAGAAAAAACTGCCTTCTGTTGTAATGTTTTCATTGATCAGGGCCAAGGATACACTCTTAAAAGCATGCAGGGAACCCAAATAAAACACAGAATTGTACCAACAAGGCAGGACACAATAACATTTTGAAAAATACATAAACGTAAATATAATATATGACGGATCTGAAACACTTAAAAATGTGGCTTTACTAATAGTTTATAAGGAAGGAAACACTGAATGTAAACATAACTTTTGTTGGTTTGCAAGAAATCTCCACAGGGCCCCTTTTAAAATCACTGCTTTCCTGTAGTTGCAAAAGTGCTGTATAAATATTAAAACATGGACTTATTGTTGAATTTCTTATTTTTTGTTCAGGGCTAAATTCTCTGTCAAGGATTGGAGACAGCGCAGAGAACCTGAGACTGAGTCCAACTCCTGAGAAAAATCAAACTGGGGATTCTTTTGAACATCTGGTATGTATGAAAAGGCAACAAATGCCAAGGATGTGAATAATGTAGTTTATTTTCTTAATTCAAATGAATGAATTATTTGATTTAGTCTTTTTCTGAAACCTGGCTCGTAACATTGCCCAACTGCAATCACCACTTGCTTAGCAACAGTCTTATTTTGATAATGCAAGATGAATTAAATCAGCCTCTTGCTACCACTCAGGTATGCCAAAGTAAACAGAAATGTGTGTTTCTGTCATGTAACAAAATAATGATTAATTTATATTTTCCTGTTCACCTTGCCTGCAGTGTAACATGAATCTGTCAGCAATGCTCTCTTTAACCAGTCTGTTCTTTGAATGTAAAGGATAGGGAAGAGGATGTATTCCCTGGGTCTTCCAAAAACAACTCAATCAAGGCGTATACTAAGCTCTTCCTCTTCAACCGGCTCAAAAGCAAGAAGCAGAAGAACAACAAATCCTCTCCCAAAGACCAGCATGAGAACCACACGGAGCCCTCGGCCCCTGAGCTGGACTCATCAGTGTCTCCTCAGGTATTTCTAAATGCATCAGATGGCCCTTCTCTCTTTTAAATTAATGAAATCAGTGTACAAGCTAAGCAATGATGGGTCTCCCTCAAGGAAAAGTGAAAAGTACAACCATGTGTCCTTTGAAACAGCTTCACATCCAAAGCTTTTTTGTTACACACAGTTGTGTCAAAAAACACTATGGCCTCTGTGTCCACACACAGGACTGCAACGGTTTCTGTAGAGCAGTTATATACCTTTCTCAAAACTCTTTTTGTTTTGTTTAACCTCTGAAACTATTAAACGCTGCTGTTACAGAAGCATCATTTTGTTTAGTCTTTTCCTGTATTATGTTGTTTTCATTCAAAGACTGTCAGCTATCCCGATTACCTCAATTATCGGAAGCCCCCTTTTTAAGGTTATTAACTTTCCTTTTTTTTTTTACACTGTAGCCGGGATCGCCGGACACTATTGGAGAGGATGGCTTTTTCGATCTCCTGTCTCGCTTCCAGGGCAGCAGAATGGACGACCAAAGGTGCTCGCTACTAGATGACCAGAGCGCTCTCCCTGCTCCTCCCTCTCCCTCCTCCACCCCACCTGTAGCTGAGAGGAAATGTGAGTCAGCCCCTTGTGTATATATAGGACCATTTTTCATACTCATGGAATGAATTGGAATGCATTGAATTGAATACAAAATGTTATAGTTGATAAAGGTCATTTTGTGTGTCTTTTATTCTTGACAAGTCAAATACTATATGGTGTGAATGCAGTCATCCACAAATGTGTCCCTTACATATGACATGCTGTGTAATCCTTAGTTTGGTTTGTGTCATAGAGGACCTAAAGTGATACGCCACCTACATTTGGGTAACAAACACTTTTGCTTTTAGTCTTGAAAGTTTAATGTAACCAACATGGTTTCATCTTTAACTGATCAAAGCAGCTTGGATGGTCCTTTTCTTTTTTACTTTTTGCCATCCTAAAGGTCTGTAATCGTCATGACTCCAAGATTACCACGGCCTTTATACTCCAAGTCTGTGGAGAGTCTCTCAAAAGATGTTGTTTGGAGTGTTGCTTTGAACTTCATAGAACTACTGTCTCGATCTCTTTTATTTTAAAACTTCAAATCCGAATGAAATGCTATGTAGGAGTAATTGACACCCTGTTAGTCCCTGTTACCAGCAAAGTGTAATACACTAACCTTGTTACAAATCACACTAATTGACTATCTCCGTCTTTAGCTATTTTGCAGGGCGAGACACCCTCGCAGGATCCTGGTCATTTCCTGGAGCTGCTGGCCAGCTCCCAGGCCCGTCGCCTGGACGACCAGAGAGTGAGCATGAGCCATTTTCCTGGCTTACGGCTCAGCACCTCCAACCAGCCTCTTACACCCTCCACCTTAAGCACAGATCAAGTCCCTCTACAAGGTGACCAATCACAGACCATTTGGATCTTCTCCCTCAGTAAGCCTTCTCACATCGTGACTAATACTAGTTTCTCCCCCAGCCCCCATCTCCAGTACAGATGCCCCTCACACACCCTCCCTGTACAGTCGCATCGAGGCCAGCTCTGAGCAGCCCGAGGAGGAGGATGTCTTCTTCGACATGCTGGTTAAGTGCCAGGTAAGATAAATAAATCCCGTGTATTGCTTGCTGCCCAAGCAATAGCAAATAGGCTAGGTTTTCCACATCACAGATATAGATTCCAAAAATATTCTGAATTCTTTTTTTTACATAAATGTACATATTTCTTTAGTAACCAAGGTTTATTATTATTAAGTCTGTTGTATAAACTTTAGTCTATGTTCAATTGTTTGTTTTTTTGAAAGATGTGTGTAAACAGACTTTGACAAGTCACTAGAGTTCATTAGCAATATTTAATTTTTGTATTCGAAGTGCACCACTTGAAATAGTATATTATGCATACAATTAGTTCCAGATTACATTGTTCTTTCCAGGAATCTTCTTAGAAATGATTGTAAAAATACAGACCTATACAAAATAAATGTTGACATACAGTACTATACGTCCCTTTTGGAAGTCATTAACAGTGCGAGTGTTCAATACACTTATAATAGTTATTTTTTAGTTACAGAGTGGGAAGATGTTGAAAAGGATCGTGTAGGGTTTGATTAAAGAAAGTTTACATTTTAAGAAGAACTGCAAGTACCTTTCTTGCTGCACTTTTCCACCAAATAACTACACGTTTTTACCTTCTAGATATCTCAAATACTCTATGTATTTGTACATTGTGATTACTCGGTGTGTATATCCAAGAGACTAAATTACGCTAACCAGCTGTTGTTAATTGGCTGAGGTGATACCTCTGTGGTTAATCATGCTAAACTAAAGTGCCATTGATAAGCATTAGCTAATTTAGCTGCACTGTCTCTCATGACTGTTAAGGGCTCACGACTGAACGACCAGCGGTGTTCTGCTCCCCCTCCCAAAACCAAAGGACCAACTGTTCCAGATGAAGATTTTTTCACTCTCATTCTGCGGTCCCAATCCAACAGGATGGAAGAGCAGCGGGTCCTGCCCCCCCCTGGGGTCACCCAATCCAAACCAGACTGACTCTGAGAGACATTTTTCATCTCAAATACAAGATGAAGTAGCCAAGCTTCCATTGTTTTTGTCAACAGTATTTTTTTTAACCCCAAATTTCCTGCCTTCCTGGATTGTCCTGACACAGTTGGGACTGCCTAGAGTAAAAGGGACGCTATAAGGAAGATCTCGAAACGACACAAGATAAGGTTTTCAAGCCTCATGGACTTGTTTTTAGATGAATGAAATCGTCTTTGGGTAATCTGCACCCTTTTTCTGTGGTCCGCCCTTCTGCCTGTTTTAACAAGACGTCTGCCTACTCTGGAGGCTTGCATCAAGCCACAACAGAGGGTCATGGTGGTTCCTGTTTTTTGAACTAAAAGTACTTTACCCAAGGATATAAGCCATACTGAAGAGATTTGTACTTTACGATGATAGACACAAGATGTTATATGAATCTGTCGCAGGGAAATTGGAACATTACATGTCCTGTTCTGTCCATCTGCAACTCTATTATCTACAAGTGGCACATCTCGGTTTGAATTGATCTCAGACCTCTGCAACAATCCCCCAGGATCAAATGACAGACCTTCTCTGGGGAAATAAATGCCCACATCTATTTCTCTGACTCGTGGAACCATTTATAGTATCTGCGTCTCAATATAGCTTGTCAGTCAGTCTGTCAGTTGTATATTAGAGGCTGAGAGGGTGGAGTTATTATTGCCATAAACTGAAATGGGATTTTTATTGTAATAACATTTTACTAGTGCGAGGGGAAAATAGAAGTTATATTAGCTTTTGTATTGAAACCATGGAGAAATAAAATCTCTAAAACAAATGTACGTAGCAGCTTATTTATTCAACCTTAATTCAGTGTACAACATCGGGATCATTACAAGACATGTTTAGGAAAAAACAATACCATTTTTAAGGTTTTACAATCCTCTCTTTTCAAATCTACATATCAACATGCAAAGTGTATTTACAAAGTACTCTGCATCATAAAACCAAATATAATTATTGTCTCATTCCTTTCTTTCTAACCTTCCTGTTGGGTCTTTTTAGCACTGAACATTTACTTCAAAGTTCCTTAACATTAAATAAATCACCCGAGCAAACCTGGAGAATAAAGTTTAAAAGGCATATTTAAGACTATACCATTGAACATAACAGTGTAAAGTGCCACAAGTGTTAGGTTATACTGTACAAAGCATAACCTTTTTAATAATAATTCCACATGAATCCCTACTATGCCTCTGAAGTCAGTCTTTCCTGATGCGTCTCCTGATGCTTCCTACACCTGAAAGAAAAGAGAAATCAACTTAGATCCTATTAGAGATGTTATGACCGGCAACTAGACAAAGTATTAAACAGCTTGGGCACACTGAGCTTGGATCCACAGTTTAATTATTGCTAAGGGGCGCCCTGAATGGTTTTGACCTACCTGGTGACGCAGCAGTTTAGGAAGCAGCTGTTCTCCTCCAGCCTGTACATCCCAGAGTTTGGCAGATCTTGACACACAGACATGAACTTTTGCAGCTCAGAGGTTGGGATTCCACTCAGCTGCTGTTGCTAAATGAGAAGGAACAAAGGGATAGCTAAGCAACAACTGCAGATACAACAATACTCTTCTTTGTGTAACCGGCACGCAAACAATCCTTCAAACTGTGTAGGGAGGGACATACTAAAAATGTGTTACAAATATCCAAAACGACAATAATCATTACCTTGATGGTGTCATAGGTGTCAGTGATGATTGTGATGAAAAGGCTGAGGATCATGTAGATGAAGAGCGAGACAAAGGAATAGAGGTAGACCCTGCTGAAGACCCACACCAGGCTGCTCTTCTGCTTCATGTTCTTGAAGGTGGGATACATGTCATCTCCGTTGATCAGGGAGAACAGACACTCCGACACCGTGTTTAAGGTCCGGAACTAAAACAAAACATCCAAGAGGCGTTAACATTTAACCAGTGGTAAAAGTGCTTATTATATTTTAAAGTGAAAGTATATATTCAAAACATACTAATAGTACTCGTTAAGCAGAAAGTCTCATTTTAGAAAATGTTTTATCATTGGATTATAACAATGAATGCATTATGTTGCAGCTGCTATTGGTGGAGAACATTTAAACGTATACAAATATATACTGTTGGGAAGGTTTTTAATTTAACTCCTCATTATAACATGTAATAATTATATATTGATTCATTATATTTTATATCATACATCCCAACACAGTCATTCATTAATAATACCAGCAATCAGAACCCAATTAGTTGAAAATATTTCCTAGTTTGGCATTTGCAAAAGTCCAACACACTCCTTACCTTCTCATGATACGGGCCAAGAACAACCCAGCCACAAAAACAGTAACTCAGGTAGATGATTCCAGCGCAGCAGATGAAACGGATAACATTTGGGAAAGCTGCCCTCAGTGTCAGGATGAGAATCTGAAAATATCCACAGACAATTGAAAAAGCTACACTGAAGACCAGTATATGGAAATTCACACACACAAATGTGATGTTCTGGTCCAACCGGATGTGTTGTTAGAGATACTGGTAGTTTTCTCCTCAACCATATGAAAAACAACGTGTACTGTAGCAGCATCCCCCAATTACAATTTGTTTGGAATGCTATGTTGTATTTTCCCATTATGGCATCTCTACCATAAAACAATGTTGAGTTATTGCACTACATGGGGCACTCAATACCTATATTTCATAAATACTTACATTATACTTCCTAAAGTAGCCCATGTAGCGGATGACCCCGGTCCAGACAAACATGGTGCCTATCCCAAGGAAGATGCTGCAGAGATCATAATTTGTGAGTACCTGAAGGAAAATTGCAGCTTTTAATGTCAGGATTCAATGTTCGTAGACTTTTCAATTTACTGTGACAGAAAATCCCCATTACCTTAGACTGGATCTCTAACTTAAGAATGGAGCCAACGATGGTCAGTGTGTCACTAGCAATGATCAGGATATACCAACCATTTACAAACTCCAACCTGTCTGACCACGGGACTTTTTGACCACAGCGGTTCTGGCTGTAGAGTGTGTACGCCTGGTTACAACGGAAGGAACAGAAGAAGTTATACTTTGAATTTCTGTTTCGACATTATTACTAGTTATTACTTTATTTAGGTACTGAAGTTCTTTTACTTAAGTATTTTCATGTCATGCCACTTCATACTTCTACTATAATATGGTACTTCTGTCTTCACTAAGTGTAGCAGTATATGAGATACGAGCGAACAATACTTTTATAAAGTGTTCCAATATTAGCTTAATCGAAACCCACAAAAACAGTTACATAAAATACACATTTAAGTATCAGCAGTAATATATAGTATGCCATAAAAGGTAAACAAAAGTTAGAGTACAGTATGCACTTAAAAATAAAAGCATAATATAGTATGTTTTTAAAAAAGTAACTTGTGTTTGTGAAAAAAGGCAGATAGCATGCTTTTAAAAATAATAAAAAACTAAAGAAAAGAATGTTGTATTAAGCCCTATGTGCATACATTGGCATAAGAAAGTGTGCACCAGAAATGTAGTTATAAAGTGTCCTAGTGTGCCATATGCAAAAAAGAAATAATAAGCAGATCACACTATAGACAGTATATCATTTTAGTTTTTACGTTTGAACAAAGCAAAAGATGCTATGCTTTACGATGAGTTTAATTGACTTACAAACTGCAGCTGAATCCCGTTGATGACTGAGCGCGTGCAGAGGGCGAGGGATGTGATGCACGTTATAATAATGAGGCAGTCAAACAGCACAGTCAGGTATATGTTCCTGGCAGCTGAGGGAATAGGGAACATTTTAAATGACTTTCACCTGAAAAGGACAATCTTCAAAAACAGATTTTACTAACATCAAAGTCTCAAGCTTAAAGAGCAGCCCTAATGAATCCGTCAAAACCCCGGACCTGAGCTTAAAGCAACTCAGATAATTAATTTGCACATACTAAACTCAGCTCAGCAAACTTACATGCCCCTGCCACTTTCCAGTCTCTGCATTCATTGATGTCGACATCGTTTTCCAGGTCAACCTTTATCCTGCCGCTGTGAACTTGGTTGTTGAAAGTGATCTGTTAACCAGAGACCGTGTTCAAGGGAGGTAAGACATTATTTAAATAGGTGTACATCGTTATAGTCAAACCCAGAAGCTAAACATTCACTTTCCAGGCCGACAAAGTTAACTATGTACATAGCAGGCACTGTGTGCAAACCGCTTAACTTGAGTAGTTTCATAAACTTGTTTTTAAAGACAATGCCTGACATGTGATCCATTGTGTTTACTGAGTCATGAAAACAAGTCAAGTGACTTACAATAACAGTAAAGTCGTAGCAGTCTGGAAGCTCTCGATGTCTCACCGTCTGCAGATTTATGGCCTTGAGAACAAATGTGACCTTAACAGAGAGCATCCTGAAAAAAACAGAGCAGCTATATAAACTAACGGTCTCTTTACAGCGACTATAAAATGATTTTGCCTTAAGAGAAAATACTTTCATTAAATGTTACGTGCAAACCTTTTGAAATGTAATTCAAAATGTGGAAGTGTTTCCTGCAATGATGGATTATACATCGGATAAACTTCAAAGCACTCTGTAGATACAAGCAGCAACACACAAAAAAGACAATGACAAATGAGCAACAAATAAATGTATTTAAGTATTCTGCTGGTCCAAGCATCTAATAACCATACATACTCACCAGTTTCCACATGAGCATCAATTTCAAAGGTGTCATTTCCAGGGTAGATGGTACCGTTCCTGTAGAAATCCTGACACACAGACAGGGGCGTGTAGAAATCACCTTTTTTCTCATATGCGTGATTGCCTACTGTGATGTTGGGCAGATGTCCATACTGGAAAGGAACAGTTGAAATCTCAGGTATAATAAAGTCAGGTTTGTTTACTATTGGACAGTCTTGATGTGGAAACAGAAAGGAAATGCTGCTGCGGTTTATGGTTAGATTTGTCAAGTCAAAATCTACAAAACAAAATAATATGAACAAAGTCCAAAGCAATGAAAAATGACACTTGTCATGGGAGCTTGGTAAGGTCATATAAGCAAGCAGAGTTATACAACAACGATTTACAGTAACACAAAAGGAAAATGTGTTGCATGATCAAAAATAAACTGACTGGTGTTCTAAATAAATAAGGAGAAAAAGAAAATACAGTATTTAATGACCTGTTTGATTATGTAATCAATGTGGTCATAAACGTCAACCTGTCTGTAAACAGCATATGAATCCATGCCTCCATCGGCATAATCTTTCAGGAAGAGGTGCTTGAATGCCATCAGATTTTCCTCCTTGAATGTGACAACCATCTGGTTGCTCAGCCCAAAGGACACTAACTGATGCAGGTAAAGAAGGAAATGTGTTAATCAAGCGGGTGAAACAACACAGTTAACATCTGTTCGAGTAATGAGTGAGAAAAGTTACCTGGATAGTGATGATGGCAATTTTGATGATCTGCAGTATGAGTTTCCATGGTTTTCGGCCCCGAGCGTGGTACTTCTCACAGGGGTTCATAAAGTAATATTTGATCTTCCTTCTGAGACACTCCACATTGTCCTGATCTTCCAGACACTGATGTTGGAGGTCTTCCCAGGGAGGGGGGGCATTAGTCGTGTGCACGTCATACAAGTCACTGCGGTCCTCCATATCTACAACCAATCGAATGTTGTCATTGTAATGTGAGGGGGGGATTAAAGCAAAGTTACGGATGACCTTATTCTTACACTCATGATGTTTGGAATAACAAAGTGTAGCAGTGGCACATAAACATTCAACTGTGAGTGTATAATTGTTTAGTTTTTGTGTAGAGCTGTAAAGTGTTTTATTCTGTTTTCTGTATGTATTTTTGCAGTTGATTTACATTCATAAACGAAACAACAGTGGATAGAATAGAAACAATTCCTACTAATATAACATCCAATACACTTGCCTTACACACAACGGTTGAAAACCTTTACACCATCAACAAAAACTGAACATGTAATGCTTTAAAAGTTGCATTACAGGTGTGACTGTCTTGTAACTCTGAAACTACTGCCGGGAACTGTATAGGATATTCTTCCTTTGGAGAAAATCAATAAACACGTTTACATTGGCATCACATCAATATTGCATTGTTGGCTAGTATTTCCAGTTGTTTTCTTCCGCATTCTAAATGGATTACTAACCAACAACTCTGTGAAAATTAAGGAAATTAAATGTGAGCATTGTTCAATAAGAAACAGCAGCTCACATGATACCTGTTCGACTTCCACCATTGAGGCAAGCTATTAAATATTCATTACGTTTCGTGTAATAACTCAAAGTATTCTGTCAGTGCACAAGAATGACAATTGGCCAATAGGATTCTTACCTTTAGGTCCCGCGGATTATTTAGCTGCGGTCACCTGTCGTCTGCGGCAGCGATACATATGTGTCCAAAATATCTTTGTCTAATTACAATTCATAACTTTCTTAAGTGTTTCTTCAATCAGAGAGTCATGACTAAAGTAATAACACTGGGAGGGCAAGATTTACGAAGTAAGTCTTGGGAGCAAAGTCCACTCGGACTGTTAGTTTGGCTCAGGTAACTTCTTGTGACGATGCAACGTCATTTTACTGCTGCAACCTGATTGGCTCTTTGACCTGTCAGTCGTGTACAGTTTGTTCACTCCTGTTACCCTTGGTTACCAAACAGTGCCACTGATGAGCGAGGACGATGAAAACGACTAAAGCTAACAACAGTTGATAAACAAGCGGTAAACTTTATTTATTCTTCTTTAAAACTGTGACTTAATGGAAGTTAGTCGGATTTACGTTATCGTTAACTGCTATTAGCACCGTCATTTAGTTTAAAATCTAGTTACAAACAAGCTGTGTTAACTACAGTGTATTGTAACCATTGTGAACAGTTAGCCATGCTTACATAGCTTAGCTTCCAAGTAAATGTTTCCAAATTAACATTAACTTGACTGTCCTTTTTCGTCGAAAACAGACCATGCAGACCTGTAATGTTTCACTCTGAACAGCTGAAAACATGTGTATTGTTTTATTTTGTGAAGTAGGCTGCCTACCTACCATTATATAAATTATAACACTGACACTGACGTTAAACACAACTCATTAAAGTTATATGTGCTAATTCAAACACACAACATTATGACACTGTAACGTTAAAACACAACAAATTAGTTATTGTGTACAATAAGTCAAAAACAAATTACAAATTGTGTTGTAAAACGTATTGCATTAATACATTAATTTATCCAAAAGATTCGTTTTCAAGCAGTGAATGACCAGCTGAATTTCACATAAACAATGCATTTTCAATAACTCCTTTCAGCTTGCTCATGAAAATGATGCTAAACAATTATAATAAATGTGTCTTATGTATCCCACGTTTAGTTTTTATTAAAATATATAATTTAAGATCCTTTTTTTCCAAAAGCTTTGTTTCATGTGACACAGCGACTTAATGGCATTTTCTATTTAATATGAATATTGTTATATAAAGATTCAGATGTTTTTATTTATATAAAACTATTGATTATTTTCAATAGCTTACCGCATTGTAGGACACATTCCCTTTTATATACATATTTGTATTAAAATTCAGAAGTTTTCCATTGGAAAGTTTTGTCCACCTTTGACTTAACATGAAGTGTGTATATTTTATGAAAAAAATGCCTTTGAAGATCAGTTTGGGTGATAACTGTTCACAGCAGTAGACCCTTACAAGTGCATAAACTACATTGATCAAAGATAGATGTTAGCTTCCTTCTCATATGGCTAATAAAAAAAAGAATAAATTCTCCTTTCAACCTCAAGATGTCGCCACCGCCATGAATAATGATTCTGGGCTACCCTTCATGGCAGTCTGCTCTATCTCTCTCTGTTACCTGTCTGTCAAATGACATTGTAACTCTCTGACAGATGGTCGATGAAATAGCATGTGTGTATTGATATGTTATATTTTGCAAGAAAAATACAACACTATTTTTACGAAAATGTTCTTCCTTTCATTAGCGAAGCAATACTAACAGCAAGGATGCCACCCAAGAGATCAAAAAGTGTGACAAGCAGTGCAGGCAGTAAGAAGAAAGGTGAGTGTCTGAACAATAGCAATGTTGTTAATGTGTCTAAATGCTTGCACGCTTGTCTCAGGAAGATCCAACAGAGACACAATCAATGACATGATGATCTAACGGTTTCTTCCAATTTAGGCAAGAATACTGAGTCACCTGCACAAGGGGAAAAGCTTGGTAAGACAACATTACTTTTTCACCCATCCTAAACTATATTGTAGATGACATAAAAAACAACATTTCTTATGGTTTTCTCAAAACTAAAAAAAAATGTCAGTAAAACTTGTGCCTAAACATACATTTGGCTATAGTCGGCATAGTCGACTGTCTAAAAACAAACAACATTTCGGTGAACCCTGAGGGAATCTTAACGATCTTAAATTAGGTTTTTTGAAGGTCTGGTAAATGTAACATGACCCTTATACAGGTTACTAAAGCGTTAGGCTCAATATTTAGTTTTATAAATTGCTTTTAACTTAGATTAAGTCATTTGTATTTTACTACCTTTAATTATTTAATTGGGAAGGCCCAAACAATCTGCCATTCATACCATTTATTTAGATTGGTGTTGGTTAGACTAACACTCAGAGATGTCTTTGAGGAGTGGGAAAAACTATATGCATTCTTCTGAAGTGATCTTGAGTGCATAGCCTTCGGACAAACTCTGGACTCAGCTGTGAGTCCCCATTGTAATGGTCTAGTTTACTCTCAGCATGCCTGCCTTGAAGACATGCTTTTGGTCAGATGAAGGTCACTAAGTATATATTTTTACTATAGATGAGATAATTCGCTTTTGAGGGAGTTACATGCAGGGCTATTTAGAGTCCTCAGATTCGGGTTGGCTATGTTTTGTTCATTTATTCATTGATTTCACAGATTTCCAGCATATACATCTGGCAATATAAGTGCAAGTCTGTAAGACTTCCTAAATGAACTCAACCTAAAACATTTTTCTCTAACTTTAACCTCAACCTGATCCAAACAGAAATCTCAAACCAGGTTTTAAACCTAGCCTTTATTCGTTGACCTCATGGCGACCGACTTTTGGTGGCCGACTCACACAAATGTGAATACTGAATGTGTTCACCTCTGAATAGGATACTCGAGAATATTGACAATACAACTGATATCTAATCTTATAAGCAAATAAATGCCTATATTGTTCAGGCTTTAACTCTTCTGTTTCAACAGATGTTGAAAACAATCATAAGTTCAATGTACAGTATAAATATCTTACGGTGTGAATTGAGAAAATGCTTGAGTGGATTATACAAGAGGAAAGAGGCCCGACAAATGTTACGTCTCTTCAGCGCAGCGTACAAACACGGTTTAATTGCATTCTTTAGGGTTATGGAACATTGCACATCACACTCTCTTAGTCTCACAAGCAAATATATCCCATGAATACAAATGTCATAGTTGACACATAAACTGTGTGAAATGACGGGTGTGAGTTTCCACTACAATGACTTGGCATTAGGCCTCAATGGTGTGAGTGGAAAACGTTGACACGCCCAGCTGGGAAGTGGTTACTTAAGCTGTACTTTAGCATTCCCACCGTCCCCTCAGCAACCTTGTGGAAAGACTTTGAAGAGAGAGACCGCAAGCAGGATGAAAACTATCATTATGTAGATCTCTGTTTACTTTAATGTGCCCTGGACTGAGCCTGGCCTCAGATATAAAGGAGTCGGCATACATTGTTTACTTCGAAAAACCTTTTGGGTGATAGTGCAGTGCTACGGTTTTATATAGCAACAATGAGCAGTTCATATCCTGAATCCATGCAATATTGAACTGCCTCTCACATACCAGTATACTAGATAAATACAACATAAGTCCTTCTACAAGTGTTTGGACGTTGCGTCTATTCACTAGGATTACATTTCATCCTGTGATATTGTAGGTGGGCCGCACTGCAGGGTGGGGCAGGTGAAGGATCAGAGACGTTGTGTGTTTGATCCGAAAAGTAGGGGCAAGAAACGGTGCCACAGTCCGTTGTATCACTTGATTCGTGAGATGTCTGATCTAAGTTGTGGCATCTCTACAGTTTTACTCATCCTGCTTACATCATCACAGTTTCACCAATTCTACAACCTTTATGTTTTTTTCAAGATATAACAGTAATGTACATTTGATATGCTGGACATAATCAGGAATAAACCTTTGATTTGTTTATGTTTAATCTTCTCCATTATGACACCTACAGCTGTAAACATTATTTGAACGTGATATTTGTGAGGCAGGTAAAGCCAGTGGAACAGACAGAACACCTACACTCGGCATACAACATCAAACACTACGATGCTTTTATTATTATTATTATAATTTTCAACACTTTCTAGAGCATCAAATATTCTTGCATCTAACAAAAACACTCTTTATGATTTTATATATTTTAATGAGACTTTATTCTCTTTACTGTATGTGGTAGTTATGCAGATAATTTGAATACAGATTATGTATCAATCAATTCAATCCCAAAACATGATGTGATTTAGAATATGATCTCCTGTAGTTAACCATTGTCTACCATCTCTCCTGCCGATATTGATTATGATCCCTCTCCCAAAGGTCACCCTGATGATATCCTCCCCATGGTCCTGACATCAGCCACCCAGGAGCTCTTTGGTTGCCGGGCGGATGAGGACGTCACGGGGGAGAGCCCTTACAAGCTGCTAGAAAAAGACGACATCATACAGGACCTTAAGACAAGAGCCGCAGTGTCCGATTTCAGCCCTGCGAAGCAGATTGTGCTGGTGAGACTAATCCATTGTCATACAGATTACTCAGACAATACCCAGCAGACACTGTGATGATACATAGACCCCGACGCAAGGGCTGTGGGAACAGAATACCCGAGGAACACGTTTTACCTCGTTTCCCCTGTGTTTTTGATCAAGATTAAATACATGGTGTCTACCACTCTTACTCTAAACGTTACTCAATTGAGAACAGAGAGAAAACCCAAGAGGACTCTACCATTTCATTTTTCCTTTTTTCATTTGTGCCGTTACTGTGATACAGTATGCACAAACGCAATGTATAACAATTATTTACAAAACTCTCTGTCTCTGTAAACACACCATGCCCGCAGGGAGAAGGACATCATCTTATATAACCTGCCCCTTTCTCACAATAAAATAAAAAATAGAAATAGATGGTCTGTCCTTCATATTTTCTTATTCACAGCCAATCATTACGGTATCGTAGGAAAATAAGAGAAACACAAAAACACACACAAATGACTTAGTTCCCACTAGACCGGTAAGGGGAAGAAACAAAACCAAAAAAACACCAAAACGTCACATGAACAAGGAAACGTGCAACACCCTCATCTGAGTCTTACTTGAGTAGAAGGGGAAAGCGGCGCATACTAATAATAATAATAATAATAATAAATACATAAACGTATTCACCAACCAAAG